AAAAGCCATCTATTAAGGCGAAATGGTCATGCATAGTCGTGTTGTCAATCAGAGTGTCAATATAAGAAATTGAGAAGTTTTTAAGAATTGCACGATTGAGATCTCGGTAATTAACACACATCCAGACTTTTCCATCATTCTTTGAGACTGACACAATGTTAGCTACCCATTTCGGGTACTTAGACACTTGTAAGAATCCAACGTCAAACTGCTTCTTTACTTTCTCCTTTATTTTTAGCAACATGCCTGGTCTCATCCTTCGAAGCTTATGTTATAATGGCTTACATTCAAGCTTTATTGGTATCTTATATACAATAATTTCCGTATCCAAACTCGATATATCCTAATACAACCAGACAAACACGTCCTTAAACTCATATAGTAGGTTTACGAGGTCTTACCTTATTTATATTGAGAGCGAGGTGCCAATCTTGACCTCTTTTTTTTTATCTTCCTCTATCCCTAGATTCATTGTCTCAGTCATCTCTTAATGGGGCAAAATCTACTTATTCTCTTGTTTAATCAATTTGACAAGTTCCGGGTTCAATTCACATTCCTCGTCATCCTTATAACCCTCAAATTCCTCTAGACACATATCATTTACAAAATCAACATTTGGTTCAGAAATATCATTATTCAAGCAATTGATATCTAGAGACCTGCAAATAAAAAAGAAAGTGTTCGGGCTATGGAAAAAAATTTATTATATATTTACCAAAAGAATAACTATAATAACATAATAAATAAGTAAATAAAATGTTTTCATGAAGAGAATGAGGGAAATATATCATTTCATTAAAGTAATGACAAATAAAAATTTTGTCTTCACAAAAGGAACTTTACTATATTCAAGTCAAAAAACAACATGACTGTTATTGTGCATTACTTTAAAACGAGCTTGTAGAATATAGGGAGTTGTTCAACATTATAGCTGTCCAAAACATATCTAGGAGGAAAAGGACGAATCGTAGCTCGTGAGCATTCTACAATTGATTCATATGTGATAGCAGTGATGCTCAAGATTTCCATCATAACCTCGACTCTAGCAGCCTCTTTATCAACCCTCGGGTGCTCCAACGTATCAACCATGAAACCCCTATATGAGAAAGTCTTGGTGATTGGTGATATAACCATAGACCCCCAAGTAATATCGTGATCACTTTCCCTTGTCTTCATTCTTTCAACTAAGCTTTTGGGCATCTTTAACCATGTTTTGATAAATGGGCTTGTACCCAATTTTGAAACATTTTCTCTTAGGTGTTGGAGTCAACCCCTCGGTGATTCCTTGTAACCTCTTACCTAACGTTTTTCCATCTCGAACTCCTCGAGCTAAAGTTTCTTTCAATTGCATTACAGTGCTCTTTGACAGTCTAGGAGAGGGCATATTCTTTCCCTATAATACAAAAATAGCATTGACAAACTCCAGAGATTGGAATGATGATTCAAGTGCAATCTCATTCACCTCCACATATGGTGCATCAGTGGTGACAGATGTCATGATCTCTTTTTCAGTTTTGACGATCACCAAAGTTACTTTGGAAATGAATCGAAGCTTCTGATGTAATGAAGAAGGAACTTCCTCAGCCATATGTATCCATGGTCTTTCTAACAACTAATTGTAGTTTGGATGAATATCCATTATCACAAATTCTACTTAAAATGTGGTTGGGCCAACTCGGAGGGGAATTTTGATTTTACCAATAATATTCCTTTCGATGCCATCAAATGCACGAACAGTGTTGCCACAAACCTTCATGTGTGAAGTCTCCATAGGGAGTCTATTCAACGTTGCCTATGGCATAACATTCAAAGCTGGTCCATTATCTATCAACACTTTAGAAAGAATAACCCTTTTACAGTGAATAGTTATATGCAACGCCTTGCATCTACATTTTCATTCTTTAGGTATCTCTTCTTCATAGAAATAGATGAATTTATCATCGTTGATGTGATTCACCATCATATCCACGTGTTCTACTGGCATATCTATCGGCACAAATGTGTCATACAACACCTTTAACAAAGTATTTCGATGTACCTCAGAATGCACAAGAAGAGATAACATCAAAATTTGTGTCAGTCTTTCGGATTTTATCCACAATATTGTATTCACTATGCTTCAAAAATTTTAGGAAATCCCGAGCTTCCTCGGTATGAACATGCTCATTCACCCTATCCTTGGGTTCGTTCATCACTATAATTCTTATCTTTTTAGCTAAACCATTGACATAACATCTACCAATCCTAGTGAAGACCCCAACTTCATCAACTTCATCTTTCTTTTCTTCAGGAGTGTTAATTTGACATGTGTAATTCCAATGGACCTTTTTATTGCTTGTATAAGTAAACAAAGTCAGTGCTTGTCACATTTGACATTGTCTTTCCTTGGTTCATCTTATAACTAGGTTTAGATATAACCAACTTTGGTTTTTTTCATCATTCCCTGAACCTTCTCCTAACTTCATTCAGATGCATAAGCATCACCTTCATTGATTGTTAAAATCTCTTCAAAGAAATGTATTTCTTTTTTATCCATCAATTCTTAGACCACCTATTAAAACTCTTGACAATCATAGAGTTGATGACCTTCCTCATAATGATACTCATAGTAAATCTTGGATTTCTCATCAGCGGATTTCTTCTTTGGGCTTACTAGTTCTCTAGCCAACATTTATTAATACACTTAGCCCAACGGCGTCCTGACCTCTTCCACCTTAATTTTGATCCTTAAACCTTTATCAATGGCATTGACGCCTTGATTTTGGTGATTTGGGAGTGGATTTATAGCATGTAAATCTCTCCCAGCCAGCCTAATATTTTGGGCATGCAAATCTATTTTTTGTAGTCGCTTCTCCTTGTGAAATAGTCCCACTCTCATCAATCAAAAAATACTTTTGATGTCTCTCCAGACCTTTTTGCTTTGTCATTAAATTATCTTCCTCGACCTTGAGCATCTCTACATTATCCCCAAAGACCATTCTTCCTGACAAAGATAAGCCATTATTCACCCATTTGAGATCAAGAACCTAAACTTTACCGAATGGGTAGGATCATTGAGATGTAGCATCAGTAGCTACCTTTACATTACCACTTTTCAAGCTTTCTGGGATCGATCCAGTGTGGTCCCTATTCTCCATGTTGTTTTCAAAATAATTGGTATTGTTTCTCATCCCCTTTGTCGTATAGGATCTTTTAGCGAAGTATCCTATTGATGAGGTATATCATGTTTATCTTACAAGATATGTAGAGGGCAAAAACTTTCATTATGACCTAATTTACCACCTAATACATAATAGATGCATTTTTTCGTATTAAAAAGTTGCATAAACCCCTCTCCCATTTGACATTGTTATCTTCTTTTTCTGTTTCAATGGCTTTCAGATGTCCACTCGCACCTGAACCCTATGTATTGCATCGCTTGAAAATTAATCATGCTTGGCATAAAAAATATTCAACAAAACAATTGTTAAACGTGATTAAGGGTGTTGTTGTAGATTTTTCAATCGTTAGAACTCTCTCATCTTCTTCATCCAACTCCAATATAGTTTCTATCTCAACTATAAAGATCAATCGAAAAACTGAAACATATAAGGCTATAGAATTGTCGCCGTCAAAGAAAATCTATAGGTAACCCTAGAAAACATGATATAAGAGCAAATAAATAAACGTCCTATAAAAGTAGAGGAATAAGAGAAAAATCATTGATAAAACCCATTAACTAGTTATAATTTTTTTTTTGATAATTTTTACATTCACCAACTTTTTAGTCATTTTTTTCATCAATATATTAACAATTTTTTATTTCAATCATTTTATTATTCTAGATCATTTCGAGCATTTTAATCTATGAGGATATTTTGATAATTTATCTCATGTAAGGCCATTTCAATAATTTCTACATATAATTCTTTTTAGATGGTTCCCATCCATAAAGTTATTTTAATATTTTTATCTTAAAAATCATTTGAACTATTTAATAATGCGTGAAAGCAATTTGATCATTTGACTCATAAAGACAATTTAGTTATTTTATCTTTCATAATTTTTTTTAACTCTTTACCCTATAAGATTCTTCTTTTTTTACTAATCAAATAAATATAAAAAGAAATACTAATTAAATACAAACTTAAAATGATGGATTAAATGAATCTAAAATCATAAAAAATACCCTTTGATAACTCTATGATCTAACTCTCTCAAAATTTTCATGTAGTTTCACATTACCTCTCATTAAGGTGATGGGCTTATTTCGAAGCTCTTAATATTTTAGAAATGAATCTTACTTTCTTTAACCCTAAATTATTGAAAATCATTAAAAATTGTTCTTTTGATTGTTGGTCTTAATGCTTTGATAGAAAATAAAGGATACATATGAGAAGGAAGATGAATGAAAAAGGAGTGGGTGAGCTTATACCTCAGCTCCCCCCAAACCACAAGTAATGTAGAGGAAATCAAGAGAAATCAATCATGATTTTTTAATAGTATAATTATTTTTTTATTTTTATTTAATTTTTAAAAAATTTATTTTAATGTCAATTAGGTCCAATTTTCTCTTGATTAGGTCCATAATTTATAAAATAAATTTAATCATGCACTCAATCCATATTATATCGGTCAACTGTCATTCGTCAACTCAAATTTTAAGTAATTATAATCTAATCGAGATATATACTTTAAACCTATAAAACACTTTTAGAACCCATCAAATATTTTTAAAAAGAATACATTTTTATATCATGTAATAAATTACAAACTTAATGAATTACACATTTTATGTTTATAATATATCTCAAAATACATTTTCGGTGTAAAATTCAAATTTAATTGTTGGAATTTTTCTGAACAGAAAACAAACGAGCTGGTTCTCAATGGTCGTAGAGTTTTGTCGGCCCAAATATTCTGTATAGATCCTCCTTTTTAAGATTTTATCGGGAAAAGGCCCCAATTTCCTTATATATTCGACCCAACCCAGAGTTTGTACAACCGTTAAGAAAATAAAGGCTGTTCCTTCACTCTCCCACTCTCCAAAAATCAGCATAAAACCCTCCCTTTTCACCCCCTAAACCCCATTTGTTTCTTTTTTGATTGAAGAAGATGCTGCTGCAAAAAACACAAGATATTGTGTTCACTAAACGGCCTTACATCGAAGATGTCGGGCCACGAAAAATGTGAGTCCCTCGTTTTTGTTATCATTCTTTTTTTCTTCCGTTTTGGATTTAATTATCGCTTGAATTTGTTCCTGTGTTTTTTTTCATTGATGTTTATGCAGTAAAAGCATGAAATTCTCAATGTTTTCGGATTCAGAGATAGCCAAAAGTGCCGAAGTTCAAGTATACAAAGGTGTTTACTATGATCCTCAAAACCGCCCCATTGAGGGCGGGTTATTGGATCCTCGAATGGTACTTAAAAACTTACATATATTAGTATTTTATGAATTCCGTATTACGTTTTTTTGCGTTATTTTTTTATCATTTGAAGTTTCTGATTTTACTTCTTCCACTATGTGTGTTTTAAGGGCCCTCCGAATAAGTCTGCTGGGAAATGCGCAACCTGTGATGGAAGTTACAATGATTGCCCAGGGCATTATGGATACTTAGTTCTTGCCCTCCCTGTTTATAATATTGGGTATTTAAGTACAATTTTAGACATTTTAAAGTGCATTTGTAAGGTAACGAATAAACTTGACCTGAATTTTTAAATTTTAATTTAATTGAAGCGCAGTCTAGACCATGCTTATTTTGGTGTGTTGTTTACAGTCTTGTTCTCGTGTACTTTTGGATGATCAATTAGCCAAAGGTTATCTGAAAAAGATGAGAGCTCCAAAGATTGAACCATTAAAGAAGGCCGAGTTATTGAAAACCATAGTAAAAAAGTGTACATCTATGGCTGGTAGTAAAGCTGTAAAGTGCTCGAGATGTGGATATGTAAATGGTTTGGATTCTTTATTCCTTGTACATGACTTTATATATATTTTGACATGATTTATGCATCATCTACGAGTAAAAAGAAAAGCATGTGTTTGGTTACAGCAATTTCTATATGTAGTTTTCTTGAGGTTATTTTATCTTCAATTGTCTAGTTCATTTTCTGCTTTTCTCATTTTATGCATCTTTGTTCTTTGCATCATCAATTGATGTGGGGGCCAAAATGTAATTTTACCATTGTCTTAGCTTAAAACTTTAAATTTTAAAAGGACTAAGTCAAAATTTTACCATTTTAGTGGGTCCATGGCCCTGCCAGCCCCTAGCTCTGCCCTGAAGCTAATCTGGTTATGATAATTGGTTGCTATATAGGGTTTGTTAGGCTTTTGTGATTCTGTGAAATGAAACCGGCGCGTAATTACTTTTTTTTTCTTTTAATGGTTTTTAGGTACAGTGAAGAAGGTTGTGGGGAGGATAGGCATTATTCATGACCGTTCAAAAATTAATGACAACAGTTTGGAAGAATTTAGATCTGCAATTTCACACACAAGAGAGTCCAAATCAACCTTCAACGTGTCTACCTATGTGCTGACCCCAGTCAAAGTGCTTTCGCTTTTTAAAAGGATGACTGATGTGGTAAAATCTATGCATTCTTTTTCATATTTTTATTACATATTGCACATGTTGGTGATTGCATTTTAATCCAAAAAATTTTCTTCTTGACATTTTCATTAACATGAATACATGATATGTTCTGTATTTCATTGTCCACAGGACTGTGAATTGCTTTATCTTTCTGACAGACCTGAGAAGCTCATTGTTACGAACATTGCTGTGCCCCCTACAGTTACCCGACCTTCGGTCCCTGTGGATGGATCGCAGAGGTTACAACAGAAAATATCTTACTCTATTTTATTATACTATGCATTCTCACTTTTATTTACTGGACGTCAGGTTTATTTCTGGTAGTTGCTACTAGAGGTTATAAAAGTATAATTATTTTTACATTTTTCCTCTTTCATGTTGCAGCAATGAAAATGACATTACAGAGAGGTTGAAAAGAATTATTCAGGATAATGCTAAGCTCCATCAGGAATTAGTAGAAACAAATGCTTCATTTCAATGTCTGGTATGGGAATTGATTCGGATACCTATTTTGTACCTATATAAACTCTGTTATTATTATTATTTGTATATATGGAGGTTGATTAGGCCTTGAGTTACAAAAATGAGGGAGTCTTATTCACCTTCTATCTCACCTTGAAGAGGGAACTGGGAACCCCCAAGCTTTAACTATTGAAGTATCTATTTCTTAATTGTTTGAATGATATTATCATTTTCAATTATATATATTTTTATTAGTTTTTCATATTATTTTGCCTATTTCCTTTACATCCCCTTTACATGAATTTCTATTTTTCCCCTCGTTTTTCTCTACTTGATTTTGAATTACCTCCTATATGTTTGGGTATCTCCTTGACAACATGTGGTTAGGCTAGTATTGTTCTTTGAATAGAACAGGGTCATATTTTAATGTTTGGTATCTTGTTGCTCTTTCCTTTAGTTGTTTTCTTATTGCTGCGTAGAGAATTTGCTGATATAGAAATGGCACAAACTTATTTGACTGCCAGAAGTCAAAGCATAGAAAAAGAGAGATCATTAAAGGATGTTGTGTGATGTGGGGTAGGCATGCAATGAAGTTGTTTTAGGAAAATGCAATAGATTGTTTGGGTACTATACTATGATTAAAGCTATCTAAGTTACAGACTGCTGATGTTACCACGATAACTAGTAAATTCTTAAGCTTAGGTTTTAATTTGTCAAATATGGGTTTGCTTTTAATTAAAGCCCGGAGAGATATTTTCAAGAATGAAAGGACATATAGGACTAAAACAGGCATGTTCACAAGTCTCTTGTTAGAGTACAAATGTTGAATGTCTGAGTTGATGTGTTAAAATTGTAAGTTGCTGTTGTAGACATTTTATTCCCTTTGAAGATCATTTATGTTGTCTCATGTTGAAGATTTTTGCTTTAGGGAGGCTGGGAGGATCTTCAAGTTGAAGTTGCACAATACATCAATAGTGATGTTCGTATCGATCACAAGGAGAAGAAAGCGGCAAAACCACTGAGTGGTTTTCTTCAGCGTATCAAAGGGAAGCAGGGACGATTTCGTGGGAACTTATCTGGAAAACGTGTTGAATTTACTGGTCGGACTGTTATATCTCCTGATCCCAATCTGAAAATCACTGAGGTTTGTTCCTAGTAATGTTTAAGCAAGTTTTAGGATTTAGAGATCTCGATTAATTTTTCCTCTGATGGTGTAATGGTTCAGGTGGCAATTCCGATACATATGGCACGGATTTTAAGTTATCCAGAACGCGTTTCCAGTCACAATATAGAGAAGCTAAGGCAGTGTGTTCGTAATGGCCCTTCCAAATACCCTGGTGCACTGATGGTCAGATATCCCGATGGCAACGCGAGGTGCATTGCTCTTGCATCATATTACTGTTATCCTTATTTTGATATTCTGAATTGCTTATTTGCTAATGATGTGGGATTACTATTTAATGCCACAGGTCCTTGATGGGTGATTATAGAAAGCGTCTTGCTGATGAACTGAAATTTGGTTGTATCGTTGACCGCCATTTAGAAGATGGAGATATTGTTCTTTTCAATAGACAGCCAAGCTTGCATAGAATGTCTATCATGTGCCATAGGGTGATTATTAGTTGTGGAATCTAAATTGCAGTATGTAGTTGTTTGTTTTTCCCTTTCTCCTAACTGTTGCTTGATTATTTTTTCATGCAATGAATGTAGGCAAGAATAATGCCTTGGAGAACGTTACGATTCAATGAATCTGTTTGTAACCCATATAATGCTGATTTTGATGGTGATGAAATGAACATGCATGTCCCACAAACAGAGGAGGCTCGGACAGAGGCACTCATGTTGATGGGGGTAAATTCTTTAATACCATAACATCTTTGGAGTAGTACCTTTGGGGGTAAATTCATCATAGGACACTTTGTTTTTGTAATTCCCACAACTTTTCAAACTGGTACAATCTTTTACTTTAAATTTTTTCCCACTGTTTCACATACAATATATCAGTAACGATAATGGTTTGATGAGGAATGTGTTAAGAAACAAACCTTTGAACTGCTACATAACACATTTTTCCTGCAATCTTAGATAAATCTGAAAATTTCTTATCAAACACTATGTGCTTGTTTCTAGGTCCAAAATAATTTATGCACGCCAAAAAACGGAGAAATTTTAGTTGCTTCCACTCAAGATTTTTTAACATCTTCGTTCCTTATAACGAGGAAGGATACTTTTTATGACCGTGCAGCCTTTTCACTTATGTGTTCCTATATGGGTGATGGGATGGATCTTATAGATTTGCCCACTCCAACATTACTTAAGGTAAAACCTAGTATCCTTTTTAGTACTTTTGCCTCTGTTTTTATATTTCTTACTGAATTTAATCTTTGTGACATAGCCCATAGAGCTTTGGACTGGTAAGCAATTGTTTAATGTTCTATTACGCCCGCATGCAAGTGTGAGAGTCTATTTGAATCTTACTGTTAAAGAGAGAAACTACTCCAGGAAGATTGTCAAAAAGATTGGTGATAAAGAAATTGAAGTAGAAACAATGTGCCCAAACGATGGATTTGTCTATATCCGGAATAGCGAGCTTATAAGTGGGCAATTGGGGAAGGCTACTGTAGGTGAGTCTTGCTTTTTTCTTCTTAATTTTTACTGTGTACTGTTTTTTTTAACAATTACTGTTTTGTGTAAAAATATGTTTCTTATTTTTTTTTGGTTCTTCTCCATTGATTCATAGAAAAGTGTTTCGCTGAAACATTTCATACACTAAATTAATAATTATCAGACTTTACAGATACCAGCTGCATCTAGTATTTTTAGGGTGAGGCAAGATCTGTTGCATGGTAATTTGATTTGTTATGTGGAGAATATTAATGATAAAAGTTTAAACCTACTTTTTGTAGGGTAGAATGAGGGTAATATGTTTCTTGTTAGTCATTCTTTAATCATATTTTCATTTGGGACTTTGCACTTTCTGAGCTATTAGACACCATTTATCAAAATTTTATTGTTACTAACCTTAAGAAAGCCTGTCAGACACGCTTTAAGCTGCCCATTGACATTGAAGAGCCAGTTGTTATATACATTTTCTTATTTTCTTCTATTATTTTGTGGTTTCCTAACTCCTGTATGATACTGTCTTCCTGCTTTTTTTCTTTTGATATAGCTTCAATTAATGGGGGAGAACTTTGGTTTAAAACAAATTGCTTTAGACTGGACATAGTAGTAGCCTATATACAGTTCCCTTTCCGCTTATGAGTTTATAGGCTACAGATTTCACAGTTGGTCTGAATCCTTATGTGCTTAAATAAATACATGCTGAAAGCCTACAGAGTGGTGACCTGTAATGATTCTAAGAGCTGTACAGATCTTATCTGTTTTCATGGTTTTAATTGCTCTTAGTTGCTGTAAGACATTAATTCTTGTTTTTGAAGTTTTCTATTTATTTATTTATTTATTTATTCATTGTATAACACCCTGGAGTTTCTTTGACCTGAGTTATGAGGAAAAAAGAACAATAATGTTCAGGGTAGATTCTTGACATTCTCAACTTTTTATGTCCTCCAACATGAATCCAGGAAATGGCAACAAGGATGGACTTTATTCTATTCTTCTTAGAGACTACAATGCACATGCTGCTGCTACCTGCATGAATCGGCTAGCTAAGCTGAGGTAACCATATGACCCAAGATTTTAATTGTGAAATTTCTTGTCATCTTCTCTTAAGTTAATATATATAAACATTTTGGTTGTTTGTATGGCTGCAAGTGCTTCATGTTTTTGTTACAGCAAATTCATGACTTGCCGATATCTTCTGAAAATATTTCTTTGAAATCTTGGTCTAGCATATTATAAAATGGATTTTATATTGTTGATTACTCCATCAATAATACATGTTATGGTCTCTGAAGATACTTTCCACTTTCCATTTTATTCCAATGTGTTTAATGAAAGTATAGCTCTTATTTGATTTGTATTTTATCTTCTCTCTCTATATTTGATTTGTATTCTCTCTTCTCTCTCTATATTTGATTTGTATTCTCTCTTCTCTCTCTATATTTGATTTGTATTCTCTCTTCTCTCTCTATATTTGATTTGTATTCTCTCTTCTCTCTCTAAAATTTCTCTTTATTTGCTTCTATGTAGTGCTCGTTGGATAGGGAATCATGGCTTTTCGATTGGAATTGATGATGTCCAACCGGGAAAACGTTTGAATGATGCGAAAGGAGTAACAATTTCAGGAGATTATAAAAAATGTGATGAACAGATACGGATGTTTAATGAAGGGAAACTACAGCTTAAACCTGGTTGTGATGCTGCTCAAACACTCGAAGCTAATATAACTGAAATATTGAATAAAATTCGGGATGAAACGGGGAAGGTAAGGACTGGAGCTATGTTGTAGCATTTTCTGTTTGAATTTATTAATTGGTCTCTGCACAATACTTACATTCCCATAAAACATTTAAGTTTATAGCATGTTCCATACAATTGGAACTGTGTATTTGTTTTCAGAATGTGATATTATCCGAATACTATTTTGTTTATGGCTGATAAAAAATTGCTTTAAAACAGGTATGCATGAGAGAACTACATTGGAGAAACAGTCCATTGATCATGTCACAATGTGGTTCCAAGGGTTCTGCTATAAATATAAGTCAAATGATTGCATGTGTTGGTCAGCAGTCAGTTGGTGGTCGTCGTGCTCCTAATGGATTTATAGATCGTAGCCTTCCTCATTTTCATAGAGGATCAAAAACACCAGCGGTAAATTTATTATATACTTTTTTAGCTCTTGACATCTAAATTCCTTTGTTATTGATGCATAAACCTAAACAGGTCATTCTGTTGGAGTAGCCTGTGTTAACTTGATCTGCGTGTAGTATGGACTATAATTTCTAACCTTTTTGGTATCTGAAAACTGTCCTCATGTTGTGTATTGGTGTTTATTTTGTTAAAACATTTTGTTAAAACTCCTTTCCAAATCCACAAAGCACGTGTAGGGAAAGAATTCTCAACCATACAAGAGTTCGGGTCCATGTTATACTCGCAACACACAACCCTTTTCCACCACGATCCCTTCTCTGAGGCAAATTTCCATACCCATTTTCCCAGGAGAGCCATATTCTAAAGGACCAAATTTGGAATCCCTAAGCCCCCAAACTCTTTGGCTTACCCACCAAATTCCAGTTCACCCAATGGATATTCTTTTTTCTGTCGAACCCCCCAAAGAAAGGCTGCCATAATTAAACTTTAATTTCTTCACCACCTTGGTTTAAAAAAGCGCGCATCAGGCGCGCTTGATGCGTGATGCGGCCGTTGCGATGGTCAAAGCGCATCTGGCAGCCTGATGCGGTAGGGGGTACATAATGCGGTCTGATGCGATCCGATGCGGTTGATGTGGGCCGATGCGTGCAGATGCGTTTAGTAAAAGTTTTTTTGGGCGTTTAGTAAAATCTTGGCCGCCACAGTCCCAGTCAAGGTTAACCCTGACAAGAAAAGCAACGTTGCATTGAGTGTGGTCGCCGTTAAAAACTTGGCCGCCTACCGAGATGATGGAGCTGACTCGTACAGCTTCTGAGTCATGGGTTTCTTTTGATCATTCGACATGATGAAAAGCCCTGATCGTACAATGAAAGAGATCAACAAAAGAAGGGCAAAACGGAGTGTAAGATGATGAAAGAGGGATGTTGAGGTGAAAAAGAGAGCTGTGAGGGTGGCGTTATAAGGAGGGAGGTGAAGTGTATATTTAATACACCTTTATCATACGCGTGTACCGTATTATCTAGAAAGGTGTAATGTTGTAATTGAGTCTGGAGTATTGTGCGCGTGTTTGGTTGAGCAGCTTTGCATGGATGTTAGTTGATGAGGATGTGACGCGTGCCTCGGACTCTTGGGCGGGCTTAGTAACGGATCTTTTTCTGTTTGATAATGGGCATGCGTTTCGATGCACTACTTGGTTGAAATAGTTCTTCGCATTAATTCAACCATATGGATTCACACTATAGTTCAAATTAAATTTTGATCTCTTAATTTAGTTATTTTAAGATGAAGAAGATTTGGTGTTTCTTGATGATGATCTTACATGGGATGCGGTGGGTAGAGTTTCCGGGGCTAATGAGTAAAGTCATTTCACTAGAGGATCCAGAAGAGGAGGTGATGATGGGGTCGGCCCATCAAGAAATGATAAAGGAAAAATACTCGCTCTTGTTGATGAAGATGAGATGGAGGAAGACATTGGAGTGACTGATGATGATGAGGGAGATGGAGGCGTGCTCGGGTTTGATGATGGGGATCTTGGAGACATTTAGTTTGTGACTAGAGAAAGTTTGGAGAACTTAGTGGGGAAAGGGAAGTGGGGGCTATTGTTGATTTGTCTTTTGGTTGTTTTGATTTTCCTACGCGTACTTGTCTATTTTGTTATTCAACATTTAGTACTATTAAACTACTTTTGGTATTAATTGAAGTATTTTTGATATATAAGTATTTACAAGGTATAAAATTAGTTCAAAAGTATTTTTTTTGTGAAAATTGGCGCATCGGGTTCGTGATGCGAGCGCATCACACGTTACGCATCAGTTTCGGAGAACTAAACGCATCAGAGCGCATCCCGCATTTTAAAACCAAGTTCACCACACATACTGGAATTCGAAAAATAGAAAGAACTTGAGGATTGCTTAAGGAATAACATGTGTTTGAAAACGGGAAATGGTGAGTCAGTGGAATTTTGGCATGATTTATGGGTGGGTTCAATTCCGTTAAAGGACCGGTTTCCTAGGATATTTGCTCTTTCGAATAATAAAGGGGGTAAAGTTGCAAAGTTTGGGGTGAACTCTTCTTCAGGTTGCTGGTGGGATATTCAATTGAGAAGAAATTTGGCGGTTTGGGAGGTTGAACAATGGATTCAGCTTATGTCTTTGTTGAATGGTATCTCCTTGTCATCTTCTCAAGAAGACTGCTGGGTATGGACAGGGAATGGGGAGGGCTGTTTTTTAGCTAAATCATGCATCAAGAAATATTTTGATTGGGTTGGTAATGAGGATACTGATGGTGCTTGGGACAGTCATGAATGGGTAGGGGTGGCTCCGCCTCGTGTGGAAACATTTGTTTGGCAGGTTGTCCATCAGAGATTGGCAGTTAGGGACGAACTGTTGAAGCGAGGTGTGATAGGGATTGATGACCCGTTGTGTTCGATGTGTGGTAAGTTTGTGGAGTTCTCATCTTTTTTTGCATTGTGAGGTGGTCTGGGGTTTGTGGACTAGATTCTTGATTTATTGGAATGTCTCCTTTGTGGTTCCATAGAGTTTACTTGCATTCATCACAGTTTGGGATGATTTAGTTCCGAGCTCCATTATTTAGAAATTCATTCCAAGGGCGGTGTTTTGGTCAATTTGGAAGTGTAGAAATGAAATAATTTTTGACAAGAGAAGTTGGATGGTACATTACTGTTCTTCCTTGTTCGTTTTAGAATTGATTCATGGTTTGTGGCGAGATTCAAAGATGTGCATATTCATTTTGATTCCCCAGTGGGTGATTTAAGACTAGTAGATTTAGTGGGAAGAAAGAAGAAGGGTTGTTATTGCTCATCGTGTTGGGTTCCTCCGCCTTCAGGGTTTGTAAAATTGAATGTAGATGGTGCGATGTCAAAGGGTCAAAGGGGTGGGATAAAGGAGGTATAGGTGGATTGATAAGGGATTCTGAAGGTTTGCTGCTTGGTTCGTTTTCTGAGAGGATTGGGAGTGGTCCTCCTATACTTGCAGAGCTATTGGCTATCAAAAGAGGATTGTTGTTTATGGAAGAAATAGAGTTAGTTCCAATTCCAAGGATCATCCTCGAATCAGATTCTCTTAATGTTCTGAAGTGGATAAAAAATCCGGCTATATTTACTCTGTTTCAGTCTTTGGTGAAAGATATTGCTTCCATAGTGGAAAGTAAGGATATTATTATTAGGAATACACTGAGAGCTGCCAATTGGGAACCGGATAAATTAGCTAAAGATGAAATAGGTTGATTATTAGGTTGTGTGTTTAGGTTGTTCTATCATTCTGAGTTGGTTGTATTAGTGTAGGTTGTTTGGTTTTTAAGTGTTATGTTGTAACAGAAGTTTGTTACGCTTTGTATTATTGTTTTGTTAATAAATTCTTAGGCACTCTTTTCCTCCTTCCAATGTCCTTCACGTTACTGTTGTAACATGGAGGTTATGAAGGGGTTTTTTAATGAGGCCTACTCTATTTCTCTCAATTTTTTTTTGTTAAAACATTGTTTTTATTACATAATGTGTCCAAAATTTCAATTTAGAGAGTTATTGTACCATTTGAAACTAGTGTAGAGAAACAAGTATCTCTTACATAATTTTAATTTAGTAATCGAGTCTTGTTGTGTGTTGTGACTAGCTTTTAATTTTCTGCAAAACTTTATAGGTGTTTTCTAACTTTAGAAGTAGCATAGATCTTGTAGGAGTTAACTCCTTTAATACTCTTTAAGTTAGTAGGCTAGTAAATAATTACCTTCTGAATCTTGTTTAAGGAATAGTTGATGCTGCATACCTTTTTAAGACTTTTAATAATGAAACTAAGCTCACTGGGTTAGCTAGGCCTCGACGAATTGTAGTTGTGGGTAACCTCTCTTTAACAGTTGTTCCCTTTTATTGAAAATTATCCGAAACGTTCACATGATTGCATGGTAGTTGAATCTATCTTAGTTGAAAGATTTTTCCTTATCTTGTTGTGGCCTTTTTTTTTATCAGAAGGGTTTATTTCTCTTTTACGAGGTGAGTGATTGCTTTTCCATAGTTCATCCTTTTGTGGATTAAGTACTATTGTGTTAAGCAACATCAACAGTCTCCGAGATTAAGTTAAATAAAATGATCATTGCATTTTTATGGCTTTGAACAGCAAAGGTATATATTATTACACTCATTCCTAAGAAATCCTATCCGGAAAGCCTGGATGATTATAGACCTATCAACTTAGTAGGGGTATGTATAAGATCCTCTCAAAGGATATCTCAAGAAGACTAAGACGGTGTATTAATGACATAATCAGCCCCTCTCAATTTGCCTTCATACCCGGTCGGCAAATCTTGGACTACTCCTTCATCGCTAACGAAGGAATTGATTTTTGGAGGAAGAAAGGACTACAAGGAGCTGTGTTCAAAGTCGACTTTAGGAAGGCCTATGATACAGTTGATTGGTCAATTTTATTCCAAATTATGAAGTATATGGGATTTGGGGAGCGATGGTGTAAGTGGATTAGCAAGTGTATCTCCTCAGCATCTATTTCAATTCTAGTAAATAGGGTCCCCACCGAGGAAGTTTCAATGACCAAGGGCCTAAGATAAGGCTATTTCTCTTTCTCCACTATTCAATATGGTTGGGGAACTATGTAACTTAATGCTGGCTAAGGCGGTCAACAAAGGTTTGTTCAGTGATTTCTTTATTAGCAGAAATGAGGAGTGATTCATGCTTTCACATATGCAATTTGCGGATGATCTAATAATTTTCTGCATGACGTTGATTAGCCAAATAAAGAATGTGAAGAGAGTTCTGCATGTGTTTGAATTGATGTCGGGGCTACAGTTGAATTTCTTCAAAAGCAGATTATTTGGGGCAAGTGTAAATGAAGAAATTATTAAAGAATGGGCGTCGAATATTGGTTGTACAGTTGGTGCTTTCCCATCTGAGTACCTTGGTCTTCAACTCGGAGCAAAGAAAAATTCAGCAGCCCTGTGGGACCAACTGGTCGACAGTGTGCAAGCCAAAAGATAGTGGGGGTCTAGGAGTTATGGACCTTAATCTAATAAACAAAGCTTTAATCGGGAAATGGTCTTGGAAATTTGCAAATGAAAGGGATTCTTGGTGGAAGAGATTGATTTGCAACAAGTATAATCTTGAAAATAACTCCATGATGCTTAGTAATAAAAATTCCCACAAGGTTCTTGAATATGGAGGGGAGTTGTTAACAATCATTTTAAGAGTGATGATTTGGATCCTGCTTTCGCAATCAACTACAAATTCAAGTAGGAAACGGAGAGGTATCCTACTCTGGCACGAAACGAGGATAATGGAATCTCCCCTAAAGAGCTTATATCCAAGACTCTTTGCCCTTTCTGTCAACAAAAATGGAAGAGTAGCCGACTTTGGAGAGCTTGGAAACATGGGTTGGGTATGGAATGTTGAGGTGTGGAAGAACCTAAGTGATTGGGAGCTGGAGCGATGGGTTGAATTAATGTTAACGTTAAGCAATTTCAGATTTGGGGAAAATACAAGAGTCTGCTTGATTTGGAAAGGAAATGGAGAAGAAATATATTCGGTTTAGGGCGTGTTCAAATTCAGCGGAAGTAGACCAGTCTTGGAAAATTTGCCTTTGGAAGGGATTGGTTCCACCGAGGGTGGAGACTTTCATGTGGTAAGTAATACAGCAGAAGCTGGTTGTAAGGGCAGAACTCATTAAGAGGTGTTCAAGGGATCTCATACCCTTTTTTTCCTGTGTAAGCTTGAATTGGAAGCTGCTTTGCATCTATTTTTTTTCCATGCAAAATAGCTTGGACTCTGTGGGACAACTTTCTGCAAATCTGGAAAGTAACCTCGGTTCTTCATGTAAAAGCCTTGACCTTTCTACTTGCTTGGGGGGATTTGGTGCCACAATCAACCATTTGGAGTTTTATCCCAGGGGTTGTGTTATGGACGATATTGAAGAGCCGAAATGCTATTGTCTTCGAAAAGGGAGTGCTAGATACAACTTATCTATTCTTCCTAGCAAGATTTAGATTAGCAGCATGGTTTTCGGCCAAATTTCCCAAAATTCCGATTCTGATGGAATCTCTCATTGGTGATCCTTCCTTAGTGGATTTATGCATAACTCCAACGATTTAGTCATCTCCTTCCTTATCCTGGATCCCTCCCCCTGAGGGATTCTTCAAATTGAATGTTGATGCAGCAGTAAATAGAAATTGGAAAGCAAGTGGAATAGGAGGGATTCTACGAGATAACTATAGTGTTGTACTTGGGTATTTCTCGGAACCATCTGGGCCAGGACCCCTGCTTTGGTGGAATTGATGGCCATTAAAACCGGATTACTCTTCTTTGAAGCTTCAAGATGGAGCTCTAAGGGGTGTTTGATCACGAAAAGCAATTGCAAAAACTGTGTGGATTGGATTAAAGATTTAGCCGAGTGTCCTAGTAACTATGCTACCATTCCAAAGGAAATAGCTGATAGAATTAGGAATAAAGAGGGCATTCTTCACTGGATAGCTAGATCAGCAAATTTGGAAGCAGATTCTCGAGCTAAGTCAGGTTTTTGGTTGATAGACAGGTTTCTTTGGTTGGGTGGGATTCTGGTATAGGGCTATAAGGTTTAATAAATTGGGATAGAACTCTTTTGTACTAAAGCATCTTGTACCGATTTTTATTATTCAATAAATCTTGAGGTACTCTTTTCCTCCCGTTTTTTTTCCGGAACACCCCTTGGTGCTTCAGCAATTATGAAGGGGGGTTTTAACGAGACCTCCAATTCTTATAAAAAAAACAGCCAAGGTATATTGAGTGGCTAAATTTTGAAAGAGTAGCTGAAGATTCTAGGAATAACTTCTTTTTTTTTAAATGCAAGCATTTTAATTTTCTTTCATTACCTCATAGAAAATTTTGATGACAATTTGTAAAATCTGTGTATTGATGTTGTAGTATTTCTCGCACCTTTTCTTAAAAGGTATTGGAGAATTGATGAAATTTTCTGAAGTTCTGGGCATATAATTTTGTGATTTTTGCAGGCTAAAGGCTTTGTTGCAAATTCATTCTACAGTGGTTTGACAGCTACAGAGTTTTTCTTTCACACGATGGGTGGGCGGGAAGGCCTTGTGGATACAGCTGTATGAATAATCTCATTTCACTTTATTTGTCTCCCTTCAGTGTTGTGAGGGATTCTGTTTCACTTTAGTTACTGATAGTAGACTGTTAGAATTGATGTTTGTACGATTGTTTATGTTTCATCTGGCTTGCTCATATTTTGCTACGTTTGCAACCTTTGTTGTGTTTTCCTTCCTCTATCCCCAGCATGTAGTCCACTTCCCCAAATTTTTTTTCCACTTATGAAAGTAGACAATCACGTGTAATTTCTTTTAGGTTGAGATATTAAAAAAATGCCCTGGATTATTCCACTTTCCTTAAGTAATCCCTATATGTTTATTGTATCCAAATAAGCCCCTATTTTTTTACCCAAATAATTATGCTAGCTGAAAGATTGATTAATGTTAAAGGCTTATTTAGGTATACAGAAAAGATTAAAGGTTAAGAGCTTATTTGGCTACAAATCAATGTTCAGGGCTGTTTTGGTTTCAAATAATAAAATTGCAAAGTTTAGGGTTTTTTTAGTTTAGCCTTTCTTTTATAGCTAATTAACCTTTATTGTAAATGTAAAGTACTATATATATATGCCTTAAATTTTGGTATCTGAACTCCCTCATGGACCCACACTTTAGGACGGTTACTAGTGAGGACTGAGGACTACTAGACTGATCTATTACTCATAAAACAAAACATTGTGTTATTATGTATTTCCAGTTCCTGGACCTGTGCTAGCTTTAATTTGATTATATCTGGTTTTAATTTTGGCATTTGTTGATCTTGTTAACAAGGTTTACCATATCACTGTTATAAGTTCAAGCAGTAAACTGCTGCATTTTTTGAGTTGTTTTATTCTGCAGCATTTCCACTTGAAGTTCATTTTAATTTTCCACTCGAGACATGTCTTAGGGTCATGCAGAATTTTTTTCTGGAATCATTGCAATACATTAATGTTACCAATATACCTATATATGAAGGGCTGAATTAGATTCAAGTGGAACGGATGGTTGGGCTCAAATAGACACTGCTGTTGATACCTTTTGACTGATGTAGGTAAAAACAGCCGAGACGGGGTATATGTCTCGCAGACTTATCAAATCATTGGAGGACTTGAGTATTCATTATGATAACACTTGTCGTAATGCAAGTGGATGTATAGTGCAATTTATTTATGGAGATGATGGCATGGATCCTGCATCTATGGAGGGAAAAAGTGGGTTTCCTTTGAATTTTGACAGATTATTAATGAAAGTAAAGGTGTGGAACCTGCATCTCAAGAGGTTTTGTATCTTATAGTTGGTAGGGTAGATTAACTTGACATTATGTTGATGATGTCCATCTACAGGCTACCTGTCCTCCAATAAATCAGAAATACTTAGCTGTCGATGCTATACCACAAATGTTAGAAGAGCAGCTAGTTATACTTGATCCAGATGGAGTTTGCTCTGAAGCCTTCAAAAAATCTCTGAAAGGATTCCTTGAAGGGAAGAAGAACGACCTAAAGAGAGTGATGGAGTTGGTTAACAATTGTGAACAGAAGAGTGAAATACTTGAGGATGTTGGCAATAAAATATCTGGTATCACTGACAGGCAATTAGAGGTAACTATTGACATTATGTAAAGAACTGCTTCATACATCTTCCCTTTTTTTGTTGCTTTTAAGTTGCATCCTTATGCCAAGGTGTGCAAATACAAGTATGCATTACATGATTTTAGAAAATTTGCATGGACTTAGAGACTATAGGTGGACTGGTAGAGTAATTTATGCATGCATGAGCATGAATATTTTGACAGTGTATATGTAGTGATATATGCATATGTTCCTGTACCATGATGAAGCACTTCCTATTCGTATTTAAATGACCCATCAATCTTATGTTATCTAGAAGTGTTGTATTTTCCTAAATTACCCTTCATCTTTAAAAGGAGAGTTTTCTAGAAGGGGTCATAATTATCTGATGGAGAGCAATATCCTGTGATTAGTCTCATGCGTATTTTTTTTATCCAAATGCTTTTATATTCCAGCCTTCTTTACATGCTTAAAAAATGTGGTTGAGTCTGATGACAGTCTTTTTTTTTTACATTACTTTAGGTTTTCATCAGAATCTGCGTCGGTCGTTATCGCTCTAAAGTAATTGAAGCTGGAACTGCCATTGGAGCTATTGGAGCTCAGAGTATTGGTGAACCTGGAACACAGATGACGCTGAAAACATTTCACTTTGCTGGAGTTGCAAGCATGAGTATCCTTTAAATGATTTCATTGATTCATTGAATTCCCAATTATTAATTACCAAGTCCTTAAATGGATTTTTCAGTGTGATTCCTCAACTCTGTTTTAGATATCACACAAGGAGTTCCCCGTATAAAAGAAATAATTAATGCAGCCAAAAATATTAGCACTCCCATCATTACTGCAGAACTTGAGTTTGATGGTAATGTGAATGTTGCACGGATAGTAAGAGGTCGAATTGAGAAAACTGTTTTAGGACAGGTATGAAATAATCCATTCAGAAGGAGCTGAAGTTATCTCATTTTCTCTCTCTCTTGTTTCTATAACTTCTTAATATTTACTAACCAGTTGGATGATCATAATGTATATATTAGCTGACTTTGTAACCGCATCTTTAACTAGTTTTCTTCTCATAGCCTCAGGCATATTTAACTATAAGTTATGGAAGTCTTAGTTCTTGGACATAAGCTGTTGCCTATTGGATTCCATTTCTTATGCTCTCATAAAAATAACAAAAAATGCAATTTCTTTTGTCTACTTGTTCTCCTATGGGTTGATTGTTTCTATAATCGACTCTCTTCTCGTCATGAAGGTTGCTAAGAGCATCAAGATTGTAATGACTTCAAGATTAGCATCAGTTGTTATCTCCCTTGATATGGAAAGAATCCAAGATGCACAATTGTATATAGATGCAAATGTCGTGAAAGAATCAATTTTGCTAACACCAAAACTGAAACTGAAGGAGCAGGTCAGATTTCTTATTTTTGGTCTCGACACTGACACTTTGGATTGTTAACATCTCCAGTTGTGTTATTCTGCAGCATGTGAAGGTTTTGGATGCTAAAAAGTTGGAAGTAGTTCCTCCAGCTGATAGAAGTAAAATTCATTTTCAACTTCATGCCCTTAAAAATCTGCTTCCAATGGTTGTGGTAAAGGTGAGGCTCCAGATTATCTTTGTGATTCGAGAAGTTAAGAAAAGTATACTCATGCTTATTTCAATTTTCCTGGATGATAGGGTATAAAAACTGTTGATCGGGCTGTTATTGCTGAGAAGAAAAAAGACAGTAAAAGTCAGAACAAAGAAGCAAAAAAGCAGTACCAGTTGTATGTAGAAGGGTTAGTTTGATTTTAAAACTAATTTCCTTGTTTTTCTCTTTTGAGTGGTTTCTAATGTGCCTTAAACCTGCAACTTGTGTTGTAAAATATTATAATCTAGAGCAAGTGGAAAGAAATTGATTCCAACTTATTTTGGCAATTATGTCTTAGTTTGATTTCTTTCCTAACTTGCAACCTCGCCTATCTCCCACTTGTGGGAGTAGGTGTGGAGATTAGTTTTTTTTTACCTTCAAAATAAAAAAATGCTGGAAAAACTAGATTACTGAAAATTAAAGTTTCCCTATTTCCCTGACAAGGGCACTGAGGGAAAGGGAAAATGCAGCTCAGAAATTAGTCTAACAACAATGGAAGGGTAATCAGATTTTTTCTTTTTAGAAGACAGGCCTACATCATATGGAGTACTTTATGATTAACTAATGGAGCTCAATTCCAGTAGCAATGCCATTTTAATCTGATGATGTATCTATTAGAAATTGAATCCTCTCTGGCCTTGCGAAGGAGGCTTTATTATCCAAGTTCAGAGCAGGATCAATAAATTACATTAGCAAAGTGAAAGAGCATGGAAGGAGATTACTGCAGAAAAATGGAATTTAGCTTTTTTAGCTTTGTCGATCATTGATTCTTTGAATGTGTTGCTTATGTGATGCATATTGTTGACATTCCCTACTTTTTAAGAGCTTCTTCCTAACTGTTACAAATGTCGTTTACATTTTCAGCATGGGTCTCTTATCTGTTATGGGCATTGAAGGAATTGAAGGAAGGAAGACAATGAGTAATCATGTCATGGAGATGCTGCAGGTATTGGGAATTGAGGCTGCAAGATCATGCATAATCAATGAGATAGAAGCAACTATGTCAAGTCATGGAATGAGCATAGACATACGCCATATGATGCTTCTAGCAGATGTGATGACATATAGGGTTGGTTCTTTTGCTGACACTGATTGCCCTTTATTTACTTGGAAATTAAAGAGCATTGGTTTTTCATTTCTATTTTACTTGCTATAAATGAAAATTTAGATTAGGTTCTGGACTTTGTTTTGTGGACAATTTTTAACTGCATTTATATTATTGTTGTATCAGGGGGAAGTTCTTGGCATCACAAGGTATGGAATCCAAAAAATGGGCAAAAGTGTATTGATGCTTGCTTCATTTGAGAAGACAGGGGATCACCTTTTTAATGCTTCTGTCAATGGGAGGGATGACAGCATTGAGGGAGTTACCGAGTGCATCATTATGGGCATACCGATGCAGTTAGGCACCGGAATACTCAAAGTTATGCAGCGGTAAGCATGCAATACATTTTCTAATGTTCTGTTTTATTGCACTAGCATTTCTTGTTTACAGTATTCTCTGGGAAATCATCAATAAATTTCACTAGTGAAGAGGTAATTTGAATTATTGAAGATTGATAAAGTAAATTTGTAATGCTCCAATAAAAGATGTCCTGACCTTTTTGCCATATTTAAGGTACTGCTGCTTTAATCCAGTCTTGATTTCTCTTACCAAAGCATTTTAAATTATTATGGTTATTTTGACAAATTCGACCATTGTGGTCTTAGCAATAGATCAATTATCCTAGAAATATGACTGCCTGCCTTGCATATTGTTTTATAAGCCATAACGGCAGTTGATGACTGGTGATCCTGAGTGATGGTGATAACTGCTAGATAAGATCTAATCTAAGCAAGAACGAGTTTTGAGGATTTTGGTTGCTGTGCGTGAGAATCATTTTTTATATTTCCCAGGGATGGACAACTAGTCTAATGATTTTTCCACCATACAGCTCCAATACAATCCCTGTTGTACCTAAAAAGAATAAATCAGGAGAGTAACACAAAAATGAGTGACATACTATTGACTTAGCCTTGCATGCTTCTAATATTGACAGGACATATGCTGCCTGCTTAGAGATGGTGAATGAATGTCTATTGGTTTTGGAGATGTTTTAGTTGACCTTTATTATTTTCGTATTTGCAGAGTGGATGCTCCTCCTATGCTAAAATATGGAGCTGATCCAGTTTTATGTTGAGGAGTTTGAAACACAGTATGCTCAATGTTGATTATGCATCAGCAGAGCGAATACCACCTGTTAACTCGTTTAAACAGTGGATGGCTGGCCTCTAATCAGAAACAAGGCTAGTTTGCTACTTTGCTTTTAGCTATGTAATTGGTAGGCCACATTAACTTTTCCTTAACAAATTTGAATGTGTACCTATAATATTAAATTAATCTAATCATCTTCAACTTCTTTCATTATTATATTGCTTGAGTTATTCAAACTCAAAATGCAAATGGTTGTGTTCAGTAATATAAAAAAATTCCCACATTACTCTAATCATGCTTTTCCTTCTGCCATCTACTTTCAATACAAATAAACCAGCTGAGCTGCAGCTTATTCCCTTGTTGGTTATAGTTCTAATCGATCGGATTGGGTCGTTTCAGCTCTTTAGGAAAATAAAAGAAAAACAATCTTTAAGAATTTTGAAAATATATATATATATATTAATCAAAGACCAATAATAAAACCATACTGGGAAATAAAGTGAAGAGAGATTATAAATAAACAATAATCAGTTTACATGTGTGTGAGTCAGGTTGGATAACTGCAATAGTGAAGTATCCTCCAAATCTGTGTATTGTCTAATGAAGCCCTTCTCCACCAAACTTCAGATGCCCATTGGGACACTCATCCCCTTTATTTATAAACCTGTACAACCAATTCAGCAATATAACCAGCTGTTGCCTCAATGGAATTGTGTGACTCACTCCATCTTCCCATACTTTCTTCTCTACTGATTTACAAGCCCTTCTCATCCACCAGATATCTTCGTAAAGCGCATCCATCCATGTCGACAGCAGTGAGAACCACCTCTCTTTCGGTACCAAGATGTTTCCCCTACCTATTGCTATACAGAGTTGAGTTGTGATCCTACTGATTTCATGCCGGTACATGGTAGGGATCTTCGAATGAAGCTCCGTGAGTTACCTTTGATCTGCCCACAGTTTCACAAACTCATTTGCCATTCTCTTTTCGATTAGAATACCAACAATCCATTGCAAATTGTCGGCTTATCAAGCTATTTCAGCCATTAAAGCTCCTCGGTTTTGCCTACCACCGTCCGTTCCTATAGCTTCAGATCAGCAGAGAACAAGAGAACCGAGACATCCCTGACACAGATGATAAAGGGTATCTTTCGAGACATCAAACCGATTGTCGTCATCCAATGAGTCTTTTCTAAGTAACCGTGAAATAAGGGTTTTCATTTCTCAACTGGCTTTCTTATCCTTTGCTTTAAGGACAGCGTTAAGAAGGTTCAAAAGGACCAATCTTTCGGAAGTAGATAGTTCAGATGATACTCTCTGAAGAACTTCATGAATTGAGACATGAACTCGAGTTGGCTGAGATAAGATACAACCTTTTCCTCTTCATCATCGAACCACGGGACAGCTTCCAGGTACTCCAAGTAAGAAGTAATCCCTGCATCAAACATAATGGCAGCAGATACCTACAACAAACACCAATATCATAAATGCCTTCACTTCAGCACAAATAAGAATAAAAGCAAAAGATGAAAAACAGTATATGTGTATGTGTATACACACACACACATACACACACATATACATACACACACACACATACACACACATATATATAGCACATATATAGCTAAATTGTGGCCAGGCACATGACATACATGGAATACATAAATGACAGCTTTGCTTCAATTGGAAGGAAAAGATTGACAAGACATCCATTTCAAACCAGTGTATGATAAAAACACATTGCTAAGCTTAAAGGGATTTGCATGAACTAAAAATCAAACTTAGTACTAGTAAACAATGATTTATCGTTCTTTTACCTCATTGAACATTAAAAAAACCCAGAATTTCTAATTGACTAATCATTGCATGAACTGAAGGAAAAAAAAAACTTACAGTGAAAGCAAAATTTCATTAGAATTCAGAATTGAAAGAAAATGAATTATTGTACCTGAAGCAAGCCAAGACTTTGGGTAACACTTTTCTCAGAAAAAAACTCTCCAGTGCACATCCATTGGTACTCTCCGGCCGTCTCTTGAGACAACCGTCAGCCTTACATCACTTGGTCTCAGCCCCCCTTCTTGAAGCTATAGGCGTTGAGTTCGGTTAGGAATTTAGCAACTCGGCGTTGGGTTCCTCTCCGATATTCTTCCATGGTTTTGGTGCCACAGAGGTTCTCCTCCGACATCATCTCGAAGAGGGTTGGGTTGTTGTGACTCGGCCGAGTTGACTCAGCTGGAGGAGGAGGAGGAGAAGAAGGAGAATAGAGCCTTGGGAGGGTTTTTCTTGATGGAGAGAAAGAGTGTCGGTTCTGAAATAAACCCTTGTTTTATCATTGCCGATACTTCTTTTAAAGCCATTGAAGCTTTTTTTCTACTTCAATAAGTAACATCAACAAACTGGGTTTAGCTTGGTTCCAAGGGAGGAAAAAGAAGGGGAACTATATTGAATCCATTGCTTATTAAAAATAAAAAAAAAGGAAGCTTTTCGATAATAGTATCGAAGAACAAAATTTGGGTTTTCTTAGAATCAATAGAAGATGATTGATTTATTGCCAAGAAGGCAACCCTGGGAATGAAGGTGGGATATTCTTGCAGATGCAAGCAAATTTTTTCCTAGGAAAGTAGAGAGAGAAAGAATCCAAGGAATGGCACAACTTTGGATCTGTGATTTCACTGAGAGTGTATGAGCTTTGTAAAGCAAAGCAGATGCCAAATTGTTGTAAAATGTAACCAAGGGGAAGTGTTTAAGCTAATTATGTTTTTTATTTTCTTTGCATTAAACATTATAAAAAATGGATGAACGAAGGAGGGATTTCATTAAACATGATAAAAAGTAAACCTAAATCACAGATTTGTTCCATGAAACTTCATTAGCTGAATTGCTTCCTTGTATCATTGTCCTCGTCTGATATTTTTGGTATTGAAGTCTGTGTTTTAATAACCAAAGAAATGTAGGTGAAAAATAGATGAACCAAACTGATTTTTATTTACCAATCAATATAGTTTACAGAAAAAATTACAAGCAACTATTAATCCAAAAAAAGAAAGCATCCAACATTATTCAAAACATCAAAGAAACACACAATCAAAAACCAAAAATCTTTCCTTTTGCAATCAACTTCGTGGCTCGGCGGCTGCTTGTTGATGGCATTGCAATGAATACTGCCATTCCCAACGCCACATTTTGGAGCAAACCCGAGGCCTCTAATGGCGAAGTAACTCAGAAAATATTGATTTGCAGATCTTGTAGTTCAGGGTCCTCTGCTTTCTCTTCCTTCACAATTTCAGTTATGGAGATTGGAACTTCAAGCTCAGGTGGGTTCTGAGTGCATTCAACAAATAGCACATCAGTTTGCATAATAGTTATGCACATCTCACTAACTTAATGAACCAAACAATGTAGGTTATGCTATAACTTCATTTATTACTTGAATGAGTTGAGTTGCAAGGGTATTGAATTTACCATCCATCTAACCAGAGCCCAATTTACGCCTTTGAAGAATGGATGTCGTTTGATTTCATTGGTGCCTTCACGTGAACCTAATCTGTTTTTCGAATCTCGATACAATAAGCGGTATATCAACTGCTTTGCATGGAGACTTACCTACATTCAGGCATATATTTATTTGGATTGTCTCTTAAAAACTGCAGTAATAAAAGAGAGTTTTGGGGAGAGAATTTTACTTGTGTGCTTCTGGGAAATTTAAGATCTTTCTGCAGAACATTGGCAAATGTCTTCTGCCTTGTCTTTCCCCTGAATGGCGTGTATCCATACAGCATTTCATAGAGAAGAATGCCTGAAATAGAGGGGGGGAAAAAGAAAAGAAATTTCATTTTGTTGTGCAAACTACAAGGTTTTCATAGGGATGGTTTCTGATATTCTCCTTTGTTCTTTTTAGTTACTAGCCCCTGGCTTTACAATTCTTGTATCTTATCATGTTCATGTATCTTTCCATGTCAAAATCATGCAATTTTGGATTACAGTATTGCTTTGTAGGAAAACAAAATTACCTAGAGCCCACCAGTCTACAGCGCTGGTGTGGCCTGCCCCGGTGATAATTTCCTGCAAATAATCAACAATTCAAGAGTGAGCATTCAATAGAGGAAAAACCCCATAAGAACTATATGTATTGATATGAAATGCAAGAATTTCTGCAGCAAGCGAACATACCGGAGCTATATACTCTTCGGTCCCCACAAAAGAATTCGATGCACGCATTGGTTCGGCCATAAAGATCAGATTCTTCTGGCTTTTCTTCCGTTTTTTCTTTTCATCTGTAGCTGGAATCAGCAGCTATAAACACAGCTCATGTATCAGATTTGCTATCAAAACTTCGAAAATATAGTAAAAAAACATATTCGTCTAGATGCCAAAGCTTGGATTTCGATACCTGTGGCTTGCAAGATGTCAAACAAGATAAATCAAAATCAGTCAAGGCAACATGGCCGTTGCCCTGGAGTAAAATATTTTCAGGCTTCAAATCTCTGTATATAATCCCTGTAAGAAAAGCAACATAATCACTGTAAGAAGTAAGAACTGATAGATCACTGATACTGCCAAATTCATTGATATTTGATTTTAACCAACCTTGACAGTGAAGGTACTCCAATGCAATAACAACCTCAGCTGCATAAAATCTGCATTCATAAACCCACAAACCCCAGAATCGGTTAGCTTATTAGATAATAAGAGATTTTCAGAACAAGATTAAGCTAGTTTTGATCACGGTGAAAAGAATATTACCTCACTGCATCTTCCTTCATGACCTTCTTTGGTTGTCGGTCCAAAAGCATGAAAAGTTCGCCACCAGGACAGTAGTCCGTGATCAGACAAATATGTGTTTTGGTCTGCAAAGTGTCTAGAGTTAGAATCATGATGTCTTCATATAAAAGTTCAAGGAGTGATGACATTAGAGCAACTATAAAAGAAAAAGCTCAATAAACTAGACCAGAAAATTTTGTAAATTAATTACATTTCAAACTATCATTTGACTAACCTGAAATGATGCATATAATGCTGGAAGAAAAGGGTGGTCCAACATGTCCAGAATCTCTCTTTCTGCACAAGCTCTATGCACCTATAGGAATGGAAGGCAAGGCATCATTAAATAGTAAACATATGGAAATCTGGGTACATTTTGGTTTCAAGATTAATACTCATAATCATGCAATTTCAGATACCTTGTTGCGGTTCAGCATAACATTTTTATCCATAGCTTTCATCGCAAAGTGCAGGCCAGTCCCACATAGTTCCACCAAATGAACACTGCCAAGAAAATAAAAAGCACAATAGCTGATATAAAAATTTGAATGACTGAATAGACATGAATTATCCTGCAAACTTTAAGTGTCAAATAAGAGCTGAGTAATCAGACAGACCTGCCAGTGTCACCTGATCCCAATGGTTTGACAGGCCTAAAATGTTTTAGACCTATCTTTTCCCCACTGTCAAGTACCTACAAAATACAAATTATTAAGGAAAATCGAGTTTTAGGGTTCATTTTAAATGATACTCAGGCCGGGTCTGTATGAATGAATAGTACCTTTTGAATAGCTCTCCAAGAGGGGGTATCCTTCCTGTGAGGTTTAGGGTGAACCAACTTGGAATGACTCATCCATAGATCTTCTGGATTCTGCAGGTAGTGAAAATGTGAAATATGTTGTATCATTTTTGTAAGACAAAAAGAGCTTTGACCTTGTGAAGAGTGACAACATTTAAACATTACCGTGTTCGCGTCCGGAAGTTCCCTCACTGCTTCATCGACATTTTCTGCAGTTTGTTTCACCTGCAAGCACGGATTATGCTAATATGTCATAACAAGCCAACAAATTGATACATTTTTTTTATAATACTCAAGAAAATTCAGCTATTCACCTATACATAATTATAGATTTCGATGACAAAACAGGGAGATTAGCATCAATAATCAAATCAAAAGTAGAGAGAAACATGGAACTCGGTTAAGAACACAAGGGTTTAGAAAACAAGAAAAGAAAGTGAGAATCAGAGAAAAGAGTTTATACCAGTTGTTCACCCTCTTGTGCTGCAGTATCTGGAATGCTGTTATGAAGTGGATCGACTTTGGCACTGCCGTCTAGCTGCACTCCGATGAAATACTGTACTTCTCCCTGTTCATAAAAAAAATTAGTGAGAATTTTGTTCCTAAGTCAGAAAACCATATGTAGCTGAAATTTTTTATTATCTGCTTAGCTATGGAGTTATATGGCAAGATGAAAGATCCATATTCCACCCAGAACATTTAGAGGATTTTACCTTCTGATCACGCATAGGCTGTAGATGGAACAGGTTCCAGAATTTCTTGCCTGCAACGTGTACAAAAACTCTTTAAATAATTAAAGGACTAGGAAGATATACTCCTTAAATACTGAAAGGCAATAACATTACATTCATGACATGAATCTGGAAAAAATTGAAGACTATGCCTCATATTTAAGCAATTCCAGGGTGTTTAGAACTTGAAAAATGTTATTAACCATACCGCTCTTGGTGTAGTTAATGAGCTGCACAGTTACTTCTGTCTGGTTATCGATTGCCTCTCGAATCTTCCTTACAGTAGCCGGATCAGTTTCAGGGCCTTGTAGAAACCTATAAGGTTTTAACAACCGCACAAAATTAAATGAAGTGAATTCCATTTTTAGTTCAAACTCAATATTTTAGCTTGACATCAGCTAAAAAAAGGCTATGGTTTAAGCTCATTCTTTACCAGCTTTTCAAACTTTAAACTATCAGATATGAGTGAGGCATACCTGCAATTTCTGCCCAGGATTTCCTCACGACTGTACTCTGTCAGCTCCAAGAAGCTATCAGAGGCGAAGATCTGAACATTAAGACAAGTAGAATCATTTAGTTTCATACAAAGTTAATCTCAAATTTGGATGATCTACCATTAAAAAGCATAAAAGCTAGAGTTAAAAAGTCTTACAATGGGATTATCAGGCAACCTGGGATCGGTAATGACAAAGTTTTTCTCTATACGTTCAAGCGTGGTGGCCAAATCAATACCCTTTCTCATTTCCTTTTGTCTAACAATGTCATCAACACTGTCTGGCCTCTCATCATCATAATCACTTTCGTCCTCATCAGCATCCTCCAGCAGGCTATTGTCAAAGCTGTCTGCAGTAGACTGGCTTTTCCTCATAAGCCTGGTGTGAATGTAAGATGAACGCTTCCAATTAATACCAAGTTTATTATTATTAGCAGCTATCATAATAAAGATTTTGATTATAAATTTATACCCCATGAAAGAAAGACGAGTGGATTTTCTGGGTTTCTTCTCAGGAACTTCACTGATACGTTCCATTGAAAGCCGCATACCACCATTGGAGTTCCTTCTATGAGGAGGCACGTTTTCTGAGTTTCGCCTCGCCATAGGTACACCACCTTCTTCTTTATCTTCTTCTCCACCACCTGATTTTCTAGTGAAAGGACCATTTGATGATTCACTAAGAGAACGTGGCTTCCTAACTGCTTCCACCAGCTCTGCGACCGATCCGGCAGCCATGTCCTTTTGCCGGGCTGCAATACCATGATATCAGGTAGCTAGTATCTTAGTAAAATTGACGTATATTGTTACAAGATCAAATGAAAATGAAACCATTTTCAGTAATTGGAAGCATTTTTGACGTTTCAAGATATATAAATTTTGATCGAATATATAATAAGATACATAAATTATATGATTTTTTTTTCTTATTTGTATTTGTATCTGGTACTACGTAACTAATGCATGCATGACCCGAGAAAATAGGTTGGGGCACTTCACAATTTAGGGATGTAAACAAGTTTAGTCGAGTTTG